TTATTTATTTATTTATTTATTTATTTATTTATTTATTTATTTATTTATTTATTTATGTCTGCATGGGGTCTTTGCTGCTGCGCATGGGCTTTCTCTAGTTGTGGTGAGTGGGGGCTACTCTTCTTTGTGGTGCATGGGCTTCTCATTTCAATGGCTTCTCTTGTTGTGGAGCACAGGCCCTAGGCATGCAGGCTTCAGTAGTTGTGGCACGTGGGCTCAGTAGTTGTGGTGCATGCACTTAGTTTGCTCTGCAGCATGTGGGATCTTCCCAGAAAAGGGGTCGAACCCGTGTCCCCTGCATTGGCAGGCAGATTCTTAACCACTGCACCACCAGGGAAGTCCCTGTATGTCCTCTTTGGAAAACTTTCTATTCAAGTCTTTTACCCATTTTTAATTGGGTTATTTGGAGTTTTTATTGTTGTTCTTGTTATTGAGTTATATGAATTCCTTGTACGTTTTGGATATTAACTTTTTATCAGATATGTGGTTTGAAAATATTTTCTCCCATTCCATAGATTGCCTTTTCATTTTGTTGATGGTTTCCCTTGCTGAACAGAAGCTCATTAGTTTGATGTAGTCCTACTTGTTTATTTTTGCTTCTGTTGCATTTGCTTATGGTGTCAGATCTAAAAATCATTGCCAAGATTAATGTTGAAGAGTTTATCCCTCCGTTTTCTTCTAGAAATTTTACAGTTTCAGGTCTCAGATTCAAGTCTTTAATACATTTCGAACTGATTTTTGTGAATGGTATAAGGTAGGGTTCCAGTATCATTCTTCAGCAGGTGGCGGTCCAGTTTTCCTAACACCATTTAGTGAAGAGACTATTCTCTCCCCATTGTATATTCTTGGCTCCCTTGGAGAAAATTAATTAGTCATATATTGTTTTCTGTATCTTGAAGCTCTGTTTTGGGGTTTACACTCGTAGGGCTGTATTGTCTTCTTGTTTTCTTTCAAAAATTTCTCCCCAATTTCTCTGTCCTCTTAAACTGAGTCCAATTACACACAGGTTAGACCATGCTAAATACAAATTAATTTGCCAATGTGCCTTGGGAACTTTTTGCTGCAGTATATATAGATCCATCTCTTTTCCTTTAAATGATAGCTAGTGTTGAATAGTATTTTAGTACTGTAAGTGATATATAATCTTTTCCCTGTTGAAATATATTTCTAATTTTTCCCTTTTCCAAAGCATTAAAAGCAAATGTTGTAAATTGTTGTACCTATATGCTATTGATCTCACACAGATACTTAGTATTGATTAGGTGAAAGATAAGTACACAAAATTTTGCTAGCAAAATCTGTTTGCATTTCAAAAATGCTGCACTACACTAAATTCCCAAAAAGTGTATATTAAAGTACCCATTTGACTATACTCCTGGCAGCACTTGACAATATCAATTTTTAGTTTTGTGGTTCGGGTTAAAAACAGGATCTCATTACTGTTTCATTTTACATTTCCTGTCTACAAGTAAGCTTGACATTTTATTTATATTAACCCTCTAAATTGTATGTTTGTATTCTTTGTCAATGTTTCAAGTATTTTTTTTTCTTTTAGATTTATAAGTGCCCCATACACATTGTGACTTTTAATTATTTTACTGTTCTAAACATTGCACATACTTTTCCTAAGACAAGATGGTCATTTATCTTTTAAACTTTGATTATTGTAGCATTTTATATATGGAAGTTTTTGTTTTACTTACTTTTGTAGTCAACCTAAGGAGGTAGTGAAGACTAGTGACTAAGAAAAAAATTCTAGATCAGACTACCTGCATTCAATTTTTAGTGTCATTGTCCAAGTTGGAGAAGTGTTAGTATAAAATATCTGAGGAAACTGCTCCTATTGCCATGAGAGTAAATATTCATAAGCAAGACACAAAACCAAGATGCTATAAATAATAATAGTGAGAAGAACAGTGAAATCTTACTATATTTTAGATGCATTACATGTATTGATCAACTTAAGCCTCAGCAAAACCCTGAAGTATAGTATCATTTCCATTTCACAGATCACCCTTTATTCAAATTCTTCATAGCTTTTTTAAAATTAATTTTTGTATGGTTTGATCTAAATTTTTAGTCCAAAAGATAGCCAAATTTCCCAGCAGCATTTATTATAGTTCTTCATTTCTCCCATTAATTTGAATACCCTTTTGCCATACTTGGGTCCATTTTAATACTGTCTATAATGCTTCATTGAGTTTCTATTTATTCCTATACCAATGCCTTACTAATTTAATTACCCTGGTTTTATAATATATTTTTAATCTGTTGGAACAAGTCCATCATTTTTGTTATTTCCCAATTTTTTAAACAATTGCCATGAATTTTTTCTCCAGATGAAGGCTGGAATTTGCTTGTCAGTTGCATTAAAAAGATTTCTGTTTGAATTTGAGATTGACTCAATTTCTAGATTATCTTGAGCATTGAAGGCTTTTCAATATTAAATCATTTTTTCTAATAAAGCATGCCTCTAAATTACTTTATTTATCATATTCTTTAAAATCATGTATAGGTTGCTTTAGATACTTTTTGAACAATTTTAATCAAGTTTATCTACAGGCATTTTGTAGTTTGTATTGCTCTGATAAATCAGATCCTCTATACATAGATTTTCTACTTATTTCTGGAGAAACTGAAATTTTAACATTGAATTCTGTTGAGATTCCTCACTGATCTCTTGTAATCTAATAGATTTTCAGTGATTTCTTTTAGAGTTTTCATTCCTTTAGAGTATCCTACCATATGGTCCAAAATAGAGACAGTGTGTTATTTTCATTCCAATTTTCGTATTGTAATTTTTCTTTTTTCTTACCATACTGCCTTATCTAGGGCATCCACTTCAATTTTGACTAGTATTAGTGACAATAATATCCTTATGTTTCTCTTTTTTATTTAAAAATATTTTTAATTTTAACTTTACCTATGACTTTGATGATGACTTTTTGGTGATTTTACTCAAATTAAAGATGTTTCCTTCTATTTTTACTGTTAAGAGTGCTCATCTTGGAAGGGAATTAAACTAAATCATTGGCCTTTTTGTATATATTAATATTATTATTTTATCTTTTAACTTGTCATGTCATGTAAAAAAATCGTTAACTTGAATTACTTTTGTGTTTCTAGCAAAGGTTACACATTCTTAATAAAATCATGTTTAATTTTTGCAGCTATTTATCACATTACTTATATTAGTTGTCACTCTTGATTAGACAGAATAATAACCATATCTCAGAAAATAAATAGAAAATAATAGGGAAAATTAATTTTTTATTTATCTTTTTCTTCTGATTTACACTGTTATTTTGTTTTCTGCCTCAGTCTATTTTTGCATAAATAGCAACCTAGGTAAATGTGCTGAGATATGTAAGATAGATTTTTTAAGAGCTGTATTCAGATATCATTAGACAATATTTCGGGTCCTCCAGTGTTGCAAATTTTCAGTAAGAGAGATAATTTTTTTCCTTTAAAGGTAAGGTTACAAAGTGTTTCTGATCCTATTTAGGAGTGAAAGAATCCTTACTAGGATCTTTTTTTGTTTCCTCCTTTTCTTATTTCTCCCTCCCTTACTTCCCCCTTACTTCATTCTTTCCTCCCTTTCTTCCTTCCTTCCTCCTTTCTTCTTTCCCCTTCTCTGTCCCTGTCCCTCCATTATTTATTTTCCCAAGGTAATGATGAATTTACTTTGAACGGACAGCACTCTATCCTCTAGTTCTTATTGTTACTAGTGGAATGTATTTTCTTGACAAAAGGCCAAGAAAAAGAGGCATGAATGTGCAGTCTGTGATGATGGGGTAGAATTCATCCAACTGGCCCATCGGAACCAGTGGAACAGGAGCAGTTTATAAACATCTGAGCTAAGCATCCACAGAGAAGCAATATTGTTCTGAATGCGATAACTTTACTAAACAAATTGTAACATACTAGATTGTATGTATTAAGCACTATGCTAAGCAGTAGGGAAACCAAGGAGAAAAAGGCTCAAGTCAGATAAATCACAGCAAGATCCTTTTTGACCCACCTCCTAGAGAAATGGAAATAAAAACAAAAATAAACAAATGGGACCTAATGAAACTTAAAAGCTTTTGCACAGCAAAGGAAACCATAAACAAGACGAAAAGACAACCCTCAGAATGAGAGAAAATATTTGCAAATGAGGCAACTGACAAAGGATTAATCTCCAAAACATTCAAGCAGCTCATACAGCTTAATATCATAAAAACAAACAACCCAATCCAAAATGGGCAGAAGACCTAAATAGACGTTTCTCCAAAGAAGATTACAGATTGCCAACAAACACATGAAAGGATGCTCAACATCACTAATCATTAGAGAAATGCAAATCAAAACTACAGTGAGGTATCACCTCACACTGGTCAGAATGGCCATCATCAAAAAATCTAGAAACAATAAATGCTGGAGAGGGTGTGGAGAAAAGGGAATCCTCTTGCACTGTTGGTGGGAATGTAAATTGATACAGCCACTATGGAGAACAGTATGGTGGTTCCTTAAAAAATTAAAAATAGAACTACCATATGACCCAGCAATCCCACTACTGAGCATATACCCTGAAAAAAACATAATTCAAAAAAAGTCATGTACCACAATGTTCATTGCAGCTCTATTTACAATAGCCCGGAGATGGAAGCAACCTAAGTGTCTATCGACAGATGAATGGATAAAGAAGATGTGGCACATATACACAATGAAATATTACTCAGCCATGAAAATAAACGAAATTGAGTTATTTGTAGTGAGGTGAATGGACATAGAGTCTGTCATACAGAGTGAAGTAAGTGAGAAAGAGAAAAACAAATACCGTATGCTAACACATATATATGGAATCTAAATTTTTTAAAAAAAATAGTTCTGAAGAACCTAGGGCCAGGACAGGATAAAAGATGCAGATGTAGAAAATGGACTTGAGGACACGGGGAGTGGGAAGGGTAAACTGGGTTGAAGTGAGGTTGGCATGGACATATATACACTACCAAGTGTAAAATAGATAGCTAGTGAGAAGCAGCCACATAGAACAGGGAGATCAGCTCGGTGCTTTGTGACCACCTAGAGGGGTGGTATAAGGAGAGTGGGAGGGAGGGAGACGCAAGAGGGAAGAGGTATGGGAACATATGTATATGTATAACTGATTCACTTTGTTATACAACAGCAACTAACACAACAATATAAATCAATTATACTCCAATAAAGATGTTAAAAAAAAAAAGACTCAATTCAGGTACTCAAAGATCTATCAACTCTTTAGGGAGGCTGTACATGTAGTCAGAGATTAATTACAGGATAGAAAGTATTAGATGTATGTAGAAAATGACTTTGGTGGAAAACTAAAGGTGACACTACCTGTGGAAGTTAAGAAAGTTTCCACAGTTTTTTGGACACTTAAGTCAGATATAATTATGTTTGCTAGGTTTATTTGAAATCAATGATACCTATTTTCAAATTTATTTTTATGTAAGTTATTAAACATTGTTAATTTGCTGTGTTATTTCAGCAAGGACATTGGTTCTTATATACACAGATGATCATCTCTTTATTATTTATCATTGTGATCACTCACCCATTAATGTAGGTCATTCATTCCATCAGTATATACTGGCCACCTGTTTCATGCCATTACTGGGCTCAATGAGAAGCAAATCAGACTGAGTCCCTGACCTCATGGAATTTACACTCTAGTGGGACAGACGAACGTTAATCAAAATCTCTCAAATAAATGTTCAATTAAAGGAGAGAAGGACAGACTCATTTGCAACCTAAACATTTGGTGATTGATTACATAGGACTGGGAACAAGCACAGGGACAGTAGGGGCACAGGCAAAGGAGGATGCTGACAAAGTGATACTTGAAGAGAAATCTAAAGAATATTTAGGTCAAGGGAACATGGAAAAGAGCTCTCATGGGTGTAGGCCCAGGGGGGGAAGCAGGGTACTTTTGAGGTTGAGAGAAGGTGGAAGCTTAAGGGAGGATGGTTTACAATAACGACTGGAGAACTTATGTGACCTCTGCTCTCTGGGCCTTGCAGCCCACTTTAAGGATTTCTCTTTAAGAATAATGGGAAAGCTCTGAAGGGCATGTAAATGTGGGAGAAAATGACTGATTTCCAGGTGGGCATTGTGGCCAATGGCTTCAATGTTCTCAGCCCCTCCAACACCTCTAACACCAGTTCCCTGGTTAAAGTCCTCTTGCAAACTGTCTGGAATGGACGTTGACCTTGATGACACAGCGGATAACAGTTCTTCAATGCTTTCTATCTCGCTGGCATTTTCCTAATATTAATAACAATTTTTAAATATTTATTTATCTATTTATTTACTTTGGCTGTGCAGGGTCTTAGTTGCGGCATGTGGACTCTTAGTTGCTGTGCGCAGACTCTTAGTTGTGGCACATGGACTCTTAGTTGCGGCGTGCAGACTCTTGGTTGTGGCATACGGACTCTTAGCTGTGGCATGTGGACTCTTAGTTGCGGTGTGCAGGATCTAGTTCCTTGACCAGGGATTGAACCCAGGCCCCCTGCATTAGGAGCACAGAGTCTTACCCACTGGACAACCAGGGAATTCCCTACATATCTTATTTCATCTTCCCCCAAGCTTTATGGGTTTGTATCAATTCACATCCATGTATCACATGTGGAACCACAGCACCAAAAAGTTAAGTAACTTGTCTAAAGTCTCACAACCATAAGGTCTGTACATTAATTTGGATTTCTAGCATCAAGATTATTTTTACCTTGATGTTGTTTTGATCTTTTTCTAAAATTTCATTAGTTCTGCTTTATTTCATCTCAAATTCTATCAGAAGTCAATGGAGTTAAAATATGTAACACCTAAATATTTCAAATTAAATGAAGCTTCTATTTAAACATCCAACATCTATATATGCTTTTCAGGGTTTCTGTATTTTCCTCTACTTTCTAATATTTTAGAGATGCACTGATGTTGTGATGAATACACTGTTACTTGCATCTCTATTTAAATGAGTTATCTGAATACTTTAGATTGGTTTAAGTTTAAAATAAAGCACCTTTGGTAAAACATGTTTTGCTCAGAACTATCTTTACGAATTTGTGGATCTCAAAATGGAGAGATCAAAACATGGGTTTATCACTTTTAAAGTTTGATATCTTTAGAATGTCATTACTTAAGATAGGTTTGCTGTCAGAGTCAGTGTTTCCATAAAAGGGGCATTCTATTTTAAATGTTACATTGTGCATGCACATTCCACTGACACTATATATATATATATATATATATATATATATCATGGGATATATGTGTAACAGTCACACACTTGTAAATGTTATTTAAAAGAACAGAATTTTGAGCTATATTATTTAAATAAAATTTATTTCCATTAACCGTATCTAGGGAGAAGAATTTTCAAAACACCAAACAATATGGTATTCAAAGTACAGAACTACTAGTTAAATGCCGATTAATTTTTTAACAAGAATTCCTATGCAGTAGGCAGATCGTTCCCACATCCCATTGTGATTGACAAGCCTGACATATGGAATAGTTCACAAATCCCCAGGTGACTGACAGATGGAGAATAGAAAGGCGGATAAAGTTGCCGAGAGAGCTGAGGATGATTTCATATTCAGCGGTTTTGATCAAAAGGATTCCAGCTCTCACCCTAAATTTAGCACCGCTGGCAATTAGAGCATGATTTATTCAGTCCTTTCATTTGCTGGTTGACAAATGGAAAACAAGCACAAAATTAAAAATAAGTTTATTTCCAGCGTTTCGAATATTTAAAATGTGTGTGTCTTTGTTTGCACATAAATTAACATGAGATGAATTTATAGTGAGAGTAAATCTGAACTGGAGAGGCAAGCAATAAATAAGAGTTTTTCTACGTATCGTACGGACAGAACAGGTGTTTGAATTAAGACATACTAATACGTTTAGCAGCACGGCTCCACCTTTAGCATTAGGGAGTTGATGCTTTCCTACATTTAGAATAATCTTTCCACAATTTAGAGTTCTTTCATAAGCTTCCAGCATAGGTGACCATCTGTATGACAATATTAATGCTCTTCAGCCTAGTAATAATAAAATCCTGAAAACAACTCCCGGCGACCCGGCTTTTCTGCGTTACAGCGAGTGATGGCAGGGCTACAGGTTTTTCCATATCCATGGTGAAAGGCAGAAGACACCCAGATCTGTCCCCAATCTTGCATTTATAAATGGAGTTAGGAGATCACAACCTTTTTTGCACTATCATTCCAGCTAGACAGTGTGAAGTTCTGTCTCCAGTTTCTCCTTCTATTTCATGAACTACAATGAGATGAACAAGAGGTGCTGATGTAAACCTGTTGTGTTGCCGAGAATCGGAACACGACAATATCACATCCACAGTTGGAGGAGAGCATAACTGCAAGCAGCCCCTCCTAGGGATTCAGAGAAGCAGGGACACTTGTAAGTACGTTGACGCCAGGTGTAGAAAAAGAATCAAGCAAAATCCTCATTCTTTCAGTGACAGAAAACAAACATCGTGTCTGAAAGGCCTTGTGATTTCAGAGGAGGTGTGTCTATCTACCTCCTCAGAAATCTTCTTGGTACTGTCTAATATAACTGCTTAGGAATATGAATGAATTGCTCGAAATACGGTGGAAGCTAGAAGGATGTCTCAGAACGGAAAGTAACTTATCACTCTCAGATGGAGCAGAAGTGGCCCTTAGAGGTGGCCTGACATCAAATGCCAACCAGGGTAACCATTTATGAGGAGGCTGGACCGGCACTGCAGCACCTGAGACTTGGGAATTGCGGGGGCAGATGTTTGGGACACTTATAGGTCTTCTTATTTGATTTGTATTCCAGGTCTGACATTCAACTTTATTTGTATTCATTATTCACAGTGGGAACTAGAATGGTTTTTAAAATAGCATAAAATCCACTTAAATTATAATGGGAAGAATCGTGTGCAATGTGATGCTTTAATTACTGTTAAGCTAACCTTGGGATATGGGAAATGTCAGTTTCCATTGGCCACATGAAGGCTGAGCCCAGATTTTAGCCCCCAGACACGTGCAGTCAGTGGGCTGCAGCTCATGGGCACAGCCCTGCCTGAGGAGTCCCACAGTGCTTCAAACCTGCCTTTGCCACCTCCCCTCATACCCTGGGGCATCATCACCTTTTTTATTACTATTCCTTCCTCCGCTGAAATACCCTCCCGGGTCCTTAGCAGCAGCCCCAAATACATTTCCCAGGCAAATAGCTTCCGGTCTGTCGTGTTGCTGTTTTTCTCTTTCTTCGACCCTCCCTGGGTGGCAAGTCCTGGGTTTTCCACCCCGCAAGAGAGGGAAAAGGGAATCTGAAACCAGCTGGTACCGATGTTAAGACCCCTTGTTCACAATTATTCCATCCCTCCTTGAAACCAGGAGTCCGGTACCATGCTCTCTCTCCCGTGTCTTTGCCATCTATAAATTACTTTAGGCATAAACAAGCATTATCCGTTTTGGAAGTCCAGACGCTTGGGTCCTAAAGAACCTTCCATAGTAAGAAGCAGGCAGTCTGATTGTCCTACAGAATGTTCTGCTACCCCTCTTCCAAGGGCTATGGAGGTGGTTAGCTATATGGAAGGAATACAATGGGACCCTAAATTCTTCCCAACTAAAAGAAGGAGATTTTCAGTTTTAATTTATACCAACCATGTGCAAATTTAAGCCATATATTAACTGGCAAAAACAGAGACTGTGTTTTTTCTTTTAGGTCATATTCTTGTCAGAGAGTATAGCAATTCAGCATCTGTGTTGGAGTCTGGAAGCAAGTTATGACATACATATATTCATATAGACGCTTTTATTTTGATTTTATTTTCCCCAAAATATACTTTCTGGAAATAACAGTGTGTAATAATTTGGGGGGTAGCTACACTCTGAAATGAGGTTTACCCTTCCTTCAGCCCAGTATATATTTTTCCTAATTAATCTATTGAGCTAAATTAAATTGTGACTGTGTTTAAACCATTAAAATCGTGATTTTACGAGGTTCAATTCAGTATAATTGCAGTACAAGATGGGAGCAAGGTGATTACATTCCCACTTCACTTTAGGGGAGAAAAAGAGACAATTCTAATACCTTATGTGTCGTGGATAGAACATTAAAAAAATCTATTTTAAATGGCTCACAAGACCTTTTTTTTTCACTATTTCAAACTTCCTTAACATGCTAAAAACCAGTACCAAACGTAAATGCTGCTTTCATATCACCTGTATGGATTGTGATCATATAATACCATAGAGAAAATAAGGGGAAAATGTAACACTTACTAAATGGTTTCTATACCCCAGAAACTCGTTTTGAGGTTTTAACGAAACATTAATTCTTCTTTTGAACTTCCTTTAGTTCTGCGAAAGAAATTTTGTTTGAAAAAACCTGAACCATATGATTACAACTTGGCATTGATCTAACTCTGTGTCATCCAATATAATTGCCACTTGTCACTTGTGGTTGTTTACATTTAGATTTTAACTAAAATTAAACTTATAAATTAAAAAATTTAGCTCCTCCAATTACACAAGACATATTTCAAGTGCTCAATAGCCACATGTGGCTAATGGTTACTGTATTAGAGCAATTATTGAAAGTGTTCATGAGCTCAGAGAGTTCTGTTGTTGGATGATGTGGGTCTAAAATCATTCTTTCAAAGGATGTGTTGGCTTAATGGGCATAGCTCCATTAAACCTTTGGCAAGCTGGTGATCTGAGTTTATGTTCAATCCTTTATCACTTTTAGAGACTAGTGTCTATCTTGAAATATTTCTAAAAATGTTATTTATAAAAGATTAAGTGATAATATGTTCTTTCAAACATGTCAATAAACAAAGAACACCCTAAAAGAGTCTTCTTACTTTATTGTTTATATTGGTAAACTGGGCACTTTCTCTCATACTATGCTTTCTCCAACTTTATTGAGACTTGTATATTTTTTTTTCTATTTTAAAAAATGGATTATGAATAATCTGTTCAGTTTATAAGAAAAGGGAAAAATCTTCTTAAATTGAAAAACAATCTCTCCAATTTTTATTTGTGTCATAAAGAATTAATTCATTTTTTCAAAGATAAAAATTGTTCATAAGATATGCATTAAGACAGTTTACTAGTTTCAGAAAATAAAGGGTGTTTGTATATTAGTTTCCTACAGTAAATCCCTCGAAGAGTGTAATACATTGAAAATACCAAATATCACTAATGAAAAATAAAATAGAAGTAAGATGACTTACACAATGAATTCTTGACAGTAATTATATTTCTTGCTACATATGATAAAAGTGTTCTCGTTTGGGGAAGTTCATCCATGATGTTTTTATCCCCTTATAACTCTTGATACCAACTCATTAAAACTAGAATATAATTTCCAAATCAGCTATCATTTAGTTCTTCAACTTTTTTCTTATATTCTTATGAGAATTAATATACTATTATCTTCTCCTTTCTTATCTTTTATCTTCTGTTTAGTTCATATCTTTCTGCTCTTATAACACAGAAAGATCTCTTTCACTAAAATTTCAAACTAAGAATCAGACCTAATATTGATTGTGTGTATGCACAAGAGTTTATGGGATGTGCTCCCTGCCCTGGATGATCTTAAATAATTATTTTCTTTGAATAATTTCTAAATAACATATTTAGTAGTATCAAAGCCATCTTTTCTGGGAGGAAAAAAAAAAGTTTCCGCAGTAGTATGGAAACACAAGAGTTGTTCAAAACCAAAAATTAAAATGCCATGTCATCAAAATCAGTGATAATTCAAAGAGTGAAAACCTTGGAAAATTTTAAGAGTCTATGCCTTCTAATAAATACTTTGCATATGTCTCTCTGTAAATATAACTAATATTCTGGTGCAAAACATATCAAAGAGAAGGGTAAGGGAAGGTATCTTTCTTAGTTCAGAATGAGTCATTGCCATTGTCCAGTGGGCATGTGCTTTGGGGGTCTTCTGATTGAGTTCTTGGTATAGAATTGGGGCAGCAAACTACTGTTGAATGAATGAGATGGATCAGGCTGAGTCATTCCACAGGATGGAAGATCTTACCACTCATTTCAGTTCATGGAAAGTTGAGGGTTGTGGCCAGTTCCTCACCCACTAAGTACCCTAACAAAAAAGTTATCTAACCCCCACTTACCCTTCATAAGCACACATCTGTTGCTATAAATTCTATATCTACTCAAACATTATTGACAATGATATTCCCACAAAATTCTCCACCCACTTCCTTGCAGTCCTCTGAGCAAATGTGCGTACGTTTATTACAACATCCATCCAAATTTAACCACATGGCTTGTCCTTTCCTCTCACTTGATGAATGTCTCTCTGCCACTGTCTTCTCATCTTAATCCACCATCCAGGATCTGTCTTTCTTATTGCCTCCCACTAGCTGATGCAAAGCTGAAAGTAGACATACATCATACTTCAGTGATCTCAGCTGGTAAACCCTTATGGTGACACTTTGATAGAAGGGGTGACAAGTCCTGTTTTCTGACTTGCTCCTCTAGGTTTTAGCCCTACAACCAGTAACTTTTTCAATTCTCAATCATACTGAACATGGGGAACATTTACCTGACAAATAAACAGTAAATATTTCTAAATTAAACTAAAATACCAGGTGCTTTTATTTTTTGTCTCTTGTTTTAATATATTTTTACTTCCTCTTGGAATAGATTGTTTTTGCTGGCTATACCATGTTATTGTAGAAATTATATTCATAAATTAGGAGGAAAGCCACCAAAATTATCAAGTACATTTACCATTCTGTTAGTACTGCCAATGTACACAGCTCCCTTCCAGTGAATTCTAAATATCACTGTTACTATAGTTATTTTCTATGTTGGTGAAATGACCAAAAGAAGATTCAAGTAAGTTATTGCGTGCCTCTCACTGAAAATGACTGTTTCCAGAGTTTCATTTTGTGCTCTCTCCAAGCACAAGTGTCATCATTAAAAAGCATTTATTAATGATCTCCTTTATAGGGTATGTACTATGACATGAAAAGCAAAATTTATAAATTTTCAGTGAAGATTAGGCTTACAGTGAAAACAGGCAATATATATATGTATCTGTAGAAACAGAATAGAAATGGTAAATCAAGTTTAAGATCAAGCTATAAATGGACACACAGAGAAAGGGAAAGAGAGGCAGAGAGAGAGAGAGAAATCGATCAAAGATTTTGACCACTCATGCATTGATAGGGCAAAAGTCTTTTAAAAATGGAAAATTAAAATATAAAACTATGTGTGTAAAATCATTAGAGTTGTTTACAATTGATGGAAAATCCACCACTGTGTTCTTATAATGAATTATCTTAAAGCAACAGACTTGAATTTCAGGAGCTGTGTGAACTCTGGATAGGGATCTTGGCAAAATGGAGAAGAGAAAGAGGATTTGAGACATCTCTCATTAGCTGAGAGGAGGCTCAGATGGTGAAGTGGAGTGAATATCTATGACCATCCTCTCCATCCCAGTTTATTCCTATTTGGTTCTTGTTATTCATGAACATCTTTAGGAGACATATGTAGCAAGTCTATACAGAAGCTTGTACTAAATAAACAGATGGGTGGACAGGGAAGAAATAATATTAGCTAGGGAAATGGATATCATATCTTTCCCATCTTTTGAGATGACTCAAATGACTAAGGTCAAAAATAAAACCTGACAAGAGACAATACGTCCAGAGGTTAGAAGTTATAAAGGAAAGCATGAAGAAGTATAAACTAATAAAAGAAGCATAAAAGAATGTGAACATATGCACTACTTGGCATAAAAAAGATTGAGTATCCCACCCACTAAGTGCAAATATAAACCCTGGACATTAAATATAAAACAAATATAAAAAGATTCCAAAAGGTGGAGAGAAGAAGGAAGACTGGCTAGGGACTCTGGTGTCTGCAAATGACACAGTGCTGAGTTCCTTGGGTTTTCTTTATTTCTTATTTTTTTCCTTTTTTTAAAATTGAAGTACAGTTAGGTAAAATAGTATATAAGTTACAGGTGTACAATATAGTGATTCATAATTTTTAAAGTTTATACTCCATTTATAGTTATGATAAAATATTGGCTATATTCCCTGCATTGTACAATATATACTTGTAGCTTATTTTATACATAATGGTTTGTACTTCTTAATCCCCTACCCCATTGCCCCTCCCCTCTTCCCTCTGCCCACTGGTAACCACTAGTTTGCTCTCTATATCATGAGTCTGTTTCTTTTTTGTTATGTTCACTAGTTTTATATATTTTTTAGGTTCCACATATAAGTGAGATCGTACAGTATTTGTCTTTCTCTGTCTGACTTATTTCACTTAGCATAATGCTTTCCAAGTCCATCCACGTTGCTGCAAATGGCAAAATTTCGTGCTTTCTTGTGGCTGAGTAGTATTCCATTGTGTGTACCACATTTTCTTTATCCATTCATCTGTTGATGGGCACTTAGCTTGCTTCCATATCTTGGCAATTGTGAATAATGCTGCTATGAACATTGGGATGTATGTATTTTTATGAATTAGTGTTTTTGGTTTTTTTCAGATATATACCCAGGAGTGGAATTTCTGGGTCATTTTTAGTTTTTTTGAGAAACCTCAATAAGAACATATATATCAATAATTACCTTAAATTTAAATGGACCAGATGCTTCAATTAAAAGACATAGAGTGGCTGAATGGATACAAAAGCAAGACCCATATATATGCTGCATCTTTATCCCTTCTATATCCCCAATTACATGCTGGAGAAACTAGCTAGCTAGTAAATGTCAAACAGTACAGACAAAAAGGACCTCAAGAAAATCCTGCTCTCTCTAACGAAATAACCAAGAAAAGAAAAGCCTAGCAAAACAAATAACTTTTAGACAATAACTCTTCTACATTGCTAAATATATTAAAACAAACAAACAAACAAAAAAAAACCCTAGATGCCTACTGGGGCATCTAAACTTCAACCTTGAGAGACTGTAATGAGTAATCCAACCACACTGCCTGGGTGGTGTCTGAGAAGACTGAGTAGGGAGCTGAGACTTCATTCTTGGCAGGTAGTAACAAATCCCACAACAGTGCCCTTCCAGTGGAAATGTCAGTGGAAACCACGCAGGGAGTCTGGATTCCATCCACACTTCACTGGGGCAGTGTACATAAAGCCTAGTAGAGAGTTGGGATTTCCAACAGCAAAGTGGTAATGAGTTACCATCAAGCTCTCACTTTGGTGTCCATGGAGGTAAAGTGAGGAGACTGAACTCCCCACTCTGCCACCAGAAATGAGAAGCTGCCCATCACAAATCAGTGAAGATTAACTGTAGAATGTGGACCTCCAACCCCACCTGTCAGTGAAAAGTTGGTGGACTTCCCCAGCCTCCACCACCCCATGGAGTCATGTCATAGCAGGATTGCAGAAACACAAGATTTAAATAAGATTCTCAATCTTGTAACATAATACCAAAAATGCCTACTTTTTCATAAAATATCAGTCATCATTCTAAAAACCAGGAAGATCTCAACTTTAGCAAGAAAAGACAGTAAGCAAATGCCAACATCAAGATGACACAGAATTATCTTTCAAGGATGTAAAGAAGTAAATATAGTAAACAAATAAACAATTACAAACATACTTGAAACAAATTAAAAAAATAGATACCTCAGAGATGAAGTAGAAAATCTAAGCAAATAAATAAAAGATATAAAGAAGAACCAAATGAAGATGTTCAAAAGAAAAACAAAACAAAACAAAAACCCTCAATGCACAGACTCAAGAGCAGAATGGAGAGGACAGAGGACTCAGGAACCTGTGAGATTATCACAAAGGATCTAATATTCATATCATTGGAGTACAAAAACGAGGAGGAGAGAAGGCAGGGCTAAATAAGTTTTGAAAAATGACTGAAAATCTCCCAAATTTGGCAAAAGACATAAATCTACAGATTCAAAAAGCTGAGCAAACTCCAAAGAAGTTAAACCAAAAGAAATTCATGCCCAACACATCATATTTAAACTTTTTGAAGTTAAATGGGAGAGAGTAAATAATTATGATGATAAATAATGCTATTAAGATTATTCCAGTGGGAAAATAGCAATCTTAAATGTGTACAAATAAAGCAAAAAGTTGCAAAATATTTGAAGCAAAAACTGTTAGAACAGAAAGGAGAATGACTAACCCACAATTATAGTTGGAGATTTCAACAAGCCTCTATCAACAATTGTTAGATCAAGTCAGATAATCAGCAAAGATATAGAAGAACACAAAATCACCATTCATCACAGGATATAGTTGATACAACGTACCTCAACAAACTTAAAATGATTGAAATCATACAAAGAGTGGTCTTTGGCTATAATGGGGTCACACTAGAAATCAATAACAGAAAGATAACAGGTAAATCACCAAACACTTGGAAAGTAAATGACATACTACCAAATATCCATGGGTCAAAGAAAAAGTTTTATAGAAAAATTTAAAGTACATTTAACAGAAAGAAAATAAAAATACAGCATATTAAAATTTGTGGGATACTATTAAAGCAGTGCTAAGAAAGAAATTTATAGCACTGACTTCTGACATTAGGAAAGAGGAAAAGTCTTACATCAGAAGCTAATTACTGGGGCTTCCCTGGTGGCGCAGTGGTTGAGAATCTGCCTGCGAATGCAGGGAATGTGGGTTCAAGTCCTGGTCTGGGAGGATCCCACATGCCGTGGAGCAACTGGGCCCGTGAGCCACAACTACTGAGCTTGTGCGTCTGGAGCCTGTGCTCCGCAACAAGAGAGGCCGAGACAGTGAGAGGCCCATGTACTGTGATGAAGAGTGGCCCCTGCTCGCCGCAACTAGAGAAAGCCCTCGCACAGAAACGAAGACCCAACACAGCCAAAAATAAATTAATTAATTAAAAAAAATCTAATTACCTACCTCACGAAACTAAAAAAATAAGAGCAAAATAAATATAAAGCTAACAGAAGAAAGGAAATAGTAAACATAATAGCAGAAATCAATGAAATTGAAAACAGGAAAATACAGAAAAGCTTCTGAAACAAAAAGCTCATGTTTTAAAACAAATCAATAAAACTGACAAAACTCTAGCTAGACTGACAAAGAAAAAAATAAAGAAGACAAACTTCAATAATAATAGGAATGAAACAGAGGCTATCACTACAGACCCTGCAGAAATCCAAAGGATGATATGGAATACCACCAAAAATTCTACACACATAAATTTGACAACTTAGGAGAAATGGATCAATCTTTCAAAAAACATAAATGACACAAACTCACCCAATATAAAATACATAATTTGAATAGCCCTATAACTATTTGGGAAGTGTAATTCATAATTTTAAAAATCTCCAGATTCAGATGGTTTCAATGGAGAATTCTATCAAACAAAGAAGAACCAGCATCAATTTTACACAATCTCTTCCCAGAAACACTTCCCAACTCATTATGTGAAGCTAGTATTTCTCTGATATCAAAATCAAATACCAAAAACAAAAACTACAGACTTCTCATAAATATAGAGACAGAAATTGCTAAAATGTTAGCATATAGAATTCAGCAATATATATATTATATATACATATAAATATATACACCATGATCAAACGAGATTTGTCCCATGGATGTGAGGCTGGGTACAATCTTCAAAAATCAATCAATGTAATTCACCATAATAACAGACTAAAGAAGGAAAATCAAATGATGAAAAATCATTTAATGTGGACAGCGCATTTGACAACACTCAATACTTGTTATGATAAAAACCCTCAGAAAACTAGGAATAGATGGAAATTTGTCCACTTGGGAAAATAATCTACAAAATACTATAGCTAATGCTGAAAGAGTGAATGCTTTTCCCTTAAGACCAGGAATAAGGTAAGGATGTGAACTCTCACCATTTTATTCAACAAAGTTCTACAAGTTCTAGACAACACAATAAGGCAAGAGAAAAATAGCTTATAGAACACAAAGAAACAAATAAAAGTGTTCCTTTTTGCAAATGACGTGATTATTTCCATAGAAAATTTTTACAATCATCAAAAAAAAAAAAAAGAAATACATGGTGTAAATGTAACATATAGGAGTTGAGTGCTGAAAAGTACACAACACTGAGGAAAGAAATAAAAAAGGAGAAAATAAATGGAGACACATAATATGTTCATGGATTGGAAGACCCAACATAGTAAACTTGTCAATTTCCCTCTCCCCTAGACCTCCCAAAAAAGGCTTAATGCAATTCTCATCAGAATCCTAGCAAGATTTTTTGTAGATATAGTAAAGATTATTCTAAACTTTCATGGAAATGCAGAGGAATTAGAATAAAGCAATTCTGAAAAATAAAGATAAAATAGGAGAAAGCACTCTACTTGTCATAAAGACATTATATTGCTGTAGCAATCAAGACTGTATCATATTGGCAGTCTACACATAGATGAATGACACAATAGAAAATCTAAAATTAGCCCAAAACAGTATGGCCAAACTTTTTGGACAAAGATGCAAATGTAGTTTAATGGAGAAAGAATAGTCCTTTCAACAAATAGTGCTAGAGCAATTGTATATTCATAAGCCAAAAAATCTTTTTTGACTGAACCTCATACCTCATACAAAACTAACTCACAATAGGTCATAGATTTAAATGTCAAATATAAAAATCAGATAAATAAAATCTATAAAACATTTATTAAAACCAGGAGAAATTTTTAGGTCTTTTGTTTCCATGAAGAATTCTTAGGCAAGATACCAGAAGCAAAATCAAAAAATAATTATTGATAAGCTGTGCTTCATCAAAATTAATAACTACTGCTTTGTGAAAGACCCTGTTAAGAAAAATAAAGGAAAAGCTACAATCTGTGAAATAATATTTGCAAACCTCATATCTGATGAAGAGCTCATATCAAGAATATGTAAAAAAAAATAACTCTCAAAACTCAATGATAAATAAATCATCCAATAAGAAAATGGGCAAAAGACATGAAGAGACACTGCCAAGAAGATATAGGGATGACAAATAAGCACATGAAAGATATTAGAATCACTTGCTATCAGGGAAATGCAAATTAAGACCACAAGGAGATATCATTACAAACCTACCAAAATGGCTGAAATAAATAGAGCGTCAACCAAATGTTGAACAGGAGGCTGAAAATCGGGATCTCTCATATACTGCTGATGGGAATTGCAGGTGACCACTCAGGACAATAGTTTGTCAACTGCTTAAAACAACAAACATACACTTACCATACAACCCAGCATTGCACTTCTGGACATTTTTCCCAGAGAAATGAAAACTTATCTACACAAAATTCTATATATGATTGTTTATAGCAGCTTTGTTTGTAATAGTCCCAAACTGGTCAAAACAAAAATATCCCTCAATAGGTAAATAAACAAACTGATACAGCCACACTACAGTATACCACTCAACAATAAAAAGGAATGAACTACTGATACACCCAACAGCTCAGATGAACTTTACGGCATTATGCTTAATTAAAAAAAAAATCCAATCCCTAAATGTCACATATTATATAATTCCATTTCTATAACATTCTCAAAATGCAGAACTACAGAGCTGAAAAACAAATTAGAGTTTGTCTTTGGTTTGGGATGGTGGGGAGGTAGAAAGGGGGTGTAACTATAAAGGGGTGACCCCGAAAAGATCTTGGTGGTGATGGAACAGTTCTGTATCTTGATTGTGGTGCTAGTTACCTGAATGTACAGCAATATCAGATCACCTGGGAACTCATTAGGATACAAATTCTCAGCTGTAGTTTAGATTTGCTGAATCAGAAACCCTCAGAGTGGGACCTAGTAGTTTGTGGTTTAATAAGCCCTCCAGGTAATTCTAATGAACGTTAAAGTTTGAGAACCACGTGTCTGGGGCAAGTGAGTCCCAATCCTGAGAGCGAGATCATGAATACAGCCTAAGGAAAGCCATATTCTGCTTGCATGTTTGTATTCATGCTATATGTCATGTGAAAATGTCCTGTGTCACACATGGTGCCCAAAAGATTCCTTCATACACGTATGTACTCAAAATTATTAAACATCGATGTTGAGCATTTCAAGGTTCAGAAAAGTAGTCCCTAAAAATTCCAATTTTATACTGTTCATTCACTTTGTACTCCAAGATTTATTTAAAACTCTAAAAAGTTAAATCTGAAGACCACATCTAGATGCAAGTTGCCTTTAAATAATAAAAAAATCAGAATTATAATGTTTTGCTGTTCATCTCACTGGATTTTTGTTAGATTATACAAGATAATTTATTTGAAGGATCTATGAAATACCTGAAGAATCATGAATAATTTCTATCACAATTAGTTGTAGTTATTAAATATTTTCAATATTATACTTAGCACTTATTAGCCAACTTCCAAATGGCAGCTGGCCTCGTATACGATCTCTGAGCTTCCCAGGGACTTTGCAGTACAGATAATTATCTCCAGATATGGGCACATTGATTCAGAGAGGTGAGATAAGTTGCTTGTGGGTCCACTGTAGAGTGACTGAACACCGATTTGAACCAGGCTTAGAGTATTCCTAACATGATACTCTTCCTTCACACTAACTCGAGTCACTTACAGTGATTCCTACCATATCAGTGATTCTGGTTTGGATCCAAACCTGAATAATAAAAAAATGCTGCATTTCAAGAGGGTACATTCTTTGCAAAAGTGTGATAAGAGGAGGGAGCAATCCAGTGGGATAAAGTGATGGAATTCTACAACACCAGAAAGGGGAAGTGGAAAATATTCCATGACAAACTAATGTATACCCAAGGGTTAGGAATGTCACATACCAATAAATACACTCTGAGTGGATAAAGGTCAACATGGGTAAATAAGGAGGTGCAGAAAGTAATCAGGGTAAGAGAGAAGAGTATGTGAAATAGGAAGCAACTGGGAAGATTATAGAATGAATTCAAGCGTAAAAAATATATCAGAAAAGCAAAGGTGTAAAATGAAAGGAAGATTACAGAAAAGTTTAGATAAATATCAGAACATTTCTCAAAGTACTAAGGGACAAGGGGTCAGCACTGGAGACAGTAGAATGATCAAAGAGATGGACAGGTAATTTATTGACACAAAGGTGGAATCTTAAGAATTAAAGGCATTCTTCCATTTAGTTCACACAAAAAGGATAAGGGAGTAGGTGGGGCATGAGGGAGATTCAGGCGGTCCTTGATGAAGTAAGATGTGTTTGAAAGAGTGATCAAGGAATTGGGAAATGTGAAAGTGAAGACATTTCTCAGTTTGTTTTTTTTTTACTTAAAGGACATCAGTAAATACTAAATCTTAGGTATCAAAGAAAACCTCACAGGAGAGATCTTTGTCTAAAAAGAAAACTAAAATCTCTATACCTTATCCTTTAAAGTATGGCTTAAGTTTATATTCCATTTATGCCTTTTATATCTGAGTTTAGAGGCCCCTTTTTGAGGAAAAAATCTCTCTGTGTAGGTGTATACACATACATACACACACACCTCTCTCTATTATATACACACACACTTCTCTGTAAATATATACATTTGTGTGTGTATATACATGCATACATTTACATCTGCTGTATCTCTGTATATATTTGCTCAATACATATACATATATGTATACCTATACATATGTATGTACACACACATACACACATGCACACAGAAAAAGAATTTCTATTTGGAAATAAAAGCTTACCTGAATTCAACTAAGAAAGCCCTTCCTCTTGACCTCAACATACTTTGAAATTTGAGTGATTTAAATGAGTAAACTTTAATAATGTCTTCTCTTCTCCCTGAAAGGCTCTGGATGGCTTATTTTGGCAACACATTTTATCTCAAAAATAACTGATTGTAAGACGGTCCGGGCAGGTGTTTGAGACACTGATGAATGTAGCCTTATTATTTCTTTTTAAATCTCAATATTTATAGAAAAATAGAAGGAAAACAGCTAGCGTCTTCTGGCTCCATTTCATCTTCAAGATTGCTTTCATCACTGCTGGGCCACCAGGAAATGGGACTGATTCCTACAAACAACAGTTGTGTTTTACCACAAGCTTTGCACTATCTTGTATTAGACTGTCAAGACTTCTCAGTCTCGCTTACACCTGGAACACTGCTAGGACCAGCTCCACACAAATGTAGCTTGAGTAAGCATCATACCCAAACCGTGCTGCCCTTGCCCCACATCCAGAGGACATCAGACAGGAATCCCCTGGGTGCTCAGGCCTGCAGACTACAGAAGTCGGGGAGGCGGATGCTCCCATGGCATCCCCTGACACATAGAAAACAAGAGCTGATGGATCTATCCATCACCCTCAAGCCTACAAATCAGTTCCAAGGCACATTCTATAAAACTTTCTAGAAGGTCAAACAATGAGTCACCTGGTGGGGGGAGGTGGTGGTGGGATGAATTGGGAGATTGAGATTGACATGTATACCCTAATATGTATAAAATAGATAACTAATAAGAACCTGCCGTATAAAAAAATAAATTAAATTAAATTCAAATATTCAAAACATAAATAAATAAGGTAAAAAAAAAAAATGAGTCACCCTGTGTGGTGGCCAGCAACATCACATTTTTGAATAAACTTCCCTTTCACAACACCAGCAGGTTTCATGCAGGAGAACACAAATTAGATACATCATGGTTAGAATTTACATGATGCATAATAATCATAACAAAAAGTAGATAGATAGGTGATAATAGCTAGATGGATAGATAGATAGATAGATAGAGATACATAGATAGACAGATAGATAGATATAGAGGTTTTTTTACAGTGTAAATAGTGAATTTGAGCCTCTCCACTTCTCTTTAAGGCCCCACCTTGACTTTGACAGATACTCTTGACTATGGAACAGAGCAGAGTGATAGGTGAGGGCTCTTCAGATGTGCTGCTATTCAAAAAGGGTTACCATTAAATTCACTATCTCAGTGACCTCTCAGTATTTTGGTCCATTCCTGTCAACCTTTCACTTTTGTTCCAGGAAGATAAATGTTTAGTTATTATCCAGGAAAACTCAGAAGTCATAAATCTTCAGAATGGTAATAGAAGCAGTTAAAAAAACAACAACAACATGGTTTTGTCTGCCTATATTGATTCCTAGTACTTTTGTATTTATTACAATTCTTTGCATTCAGAGTAATGTTTCCATGATTTCGCCTACATTTTCAACTTCAAGATGAAATGATTTAAAAAAGAAGTTACCTTTTTCCAAAACAGCTTCCTTATTGTGTACCAGGACAAATACCAGGTGTTTTATATAAGTATATTGGCACTAAGTCACACAGCTAAGAGCAAGCTATTGACTTGTGCCCTTTGGCCCAACAGTTATGGATCTTAGAAACCATCACTGCCATTCTAACAACAAGAAAAAAGTTGAGCAAACTGAAAATCAACTTCTCTTAGAGCCCTCAGGGGACTGAGGTCACAGAACAAATCACCACCCCAAAAGTTGCATAGACAGGCAAATACAGAGAATCACAGCTCACTGGGAGCAGTAGCTGTGCTGGAGCCAGCAACTGTGTAATTGACTACTTGCTGGAAATTGAGCATGGACTAGCTTGAGGGATAAAGCATCTTGGGTCTTAGCCTTAGGAAGCCCCCAAACTTTGTGAGTTTTACCTGTAGGAGCCCACTCACGTTGTCACTGTGAAGATCAAAAAAAGTTCCTTTTCTGGCATGGAAAGGGGTGCCAGAGCATTTTCTTCTTCTTAACAAAAGCCAAGGGAAACCAAGGCTCAGACGTTAAGAAAGGATTTCTAGAGAAACACAAAGACAATAGAGGAGACAAAAATCATAACACCAGAGAAAATTTTAGCCTCTAACATGACAACTACAGCAAACAGTAAACACAGCCTAAAACCTAGCCAAGTAAATGTAACACTTCAACAAAAAGCCTATTGACTCCAGTTATTTATAGCCAATACATCCTGTTCAGTTTTAAAAAATAAAAATAAAACTGTAATGAGACATGATAAAAGGCAAAGAAAAATACACCATCTGAAGACACTAGCATGTATAAGAACCAGACTTAAATATGGCAGAGATTTTGGAATTATCAAACCAGGAATTAAAAATAACCATTATTAATAAGGGTGCTAATGGACAAAATAGACAACATGAAAGAACAGATGGGGAATATAAGCTGAGAGATGGAAACTCTAGGAAAGCAAGTTATTCACATGCAAAATTATCTGGGGGGACTTACTAGGAGGTGAAAGAACTGGGTGGATGCTGCCACCCAGCCATCCCATTGGATTCCCAGCTGCAGCCTTTGCTGACCCAATAGAATCACGGACCTGTGGGAGCATAGTTTCTTGGTGGAAGGAAATTCCCCTCCCTCCCCCAAACTAAGCGAAGGAAAGTTCCAAGAGATTTACTCATTAGGAATTGAGATGCTTGCCAAAAAATGAAGACTGAGTTCTTGTCCTTTTGGAGGTCCAGCAGGAAGTTCAGTGAGTGTGTTAATATCACCCTATGCCTATCTGGACAGGGGAGAGGGGAACTGGAGAGCCATGGTGCTGGGGAAGGCTGCATTCCCACAAGTTGACGAGGACAGGCATTTTTTTGGACCATGTGGTTCAAGGGGTTTGCCCATCTTAGATAGGTTCCAGCCCTCTTTCTAGTACTGCATTCAAGAGGCTTCAGGTCTTAGGACCAGAGGAGGGCTGGGAGACGCTGCACAGAGCTGCACACATGAGGCACTGTCCAATACAGGAGCCCTCCCCCCACCCCCGGAGAACCCACACATGAACCCTTCTTAGATGCCTGGCACAGAGTGTATCAAGAGTCTATCAGGGGCAGTTGGAGAAGCAGCTTTAACTAACAGGATGAAAAACACCAAAAAAGTCAGCTAACTACAGACACTGTTTTGTTTTTTGTTTTTTTTTCCCTCTCTTCCCATTCTTTCCCAACACACTGGAATGACTAGTCCTTGGAGAGATCGAGGAAAGGAGAGACCTCCCAGAGAGAAATCATACATGCTCTAAGCAGTCAGTGTTTCAGCTCACCTTGATCTTGGCATTTGGATTGAGGAACAGAGTTAAATCAAATTTCAGACTAAAGTAATACATCAGTGTTTTAATACACAAAGTAATCTGAAAGTTAAGAAATTCACCCAAGATTTCACGAAGAGACTGGGAGCAGAGATCCAGGAGCAAGGTTGAAAATATCGATTGGAGGAAGGTCGATTCTTTCCACATCTGCTCCCAGCAGAGGAGCAGAGACAGGACCTTAAAGCAGCTATAATGTTGTGAAATTTAATCCTCGAGGCAACTTTGTGGTGCACGTATTCTTACCTCTACTTTCTGAAGAAGATATGAGTGAAGTCGGGTTAATTAAGCAGCATACCCAAGGTCCACAGCCACTTCTGGGGGAAATTGAACCTGGGTACCTCGACTCCAAAGCCCAAATTGTTTCTGCCACATCCCACTGCCTTCTTAGTGAGTAGAGTATGGAAACCTTCTAAACTGCGAACACTCTAGCTGAAATTTATTATGAATTGTATGGAGGATAGAGCCCTACAATTCAACATCCTCTTGTGCTTTATAAATGCATGTGACAGATTAATAATTGTTTTATTTCTAAGGTTCACAAATGCCTTAGGATTTTTTTCAAGGAGATATCAATTTCACATTCCACTATCTCCAAGTTTATTTTCCTAAGTAAGGTTATCAATTGTCCATCAATATCTTCTATTTTAACATTACTTTCAATAAAGGATCCATCCAATCCAGGGATCATTTTAGCTCCCAGCAGTGGTTCTTATATCCTTTTGCCTTTGAAAAGCACCAGACTGCAGAAGTGCTGTCCTGGGCGTAAGGCTCTGAGATTGAAAGTCCCCTTCCTTTAATTTGCATAATCTGATACACAGGCCATTGTACCATCTATTATCACTACTACTAAAATAGCTAATTTTGCTCTCTTTTTCCTCAATACCATATTATTAAGTTTCTATTTCTTCTTAAGCTTCTTACAAATACTCCTTTCCCAAACTCCAGGGAGTAGCTTCCTGCCGCTCCCCGTTCCTGCTGTCTCCCGCACAAATCTTTCTTTCATCAGGACCATTTCAAACACCACTGCATACGTAGCCAGAGGATCTCATCCCAGAATGTCTCCTGCTGAGTGGAAGAAGGTGGAGGATTTTTGCCTTTGAGATGCCTGGGTAGCTTCCAAGAAACACATGAGCATAGTTTAATTCTTTTTTTTTTTTCTTTTGCTCAGAGAATATTAGTATACTTCTCCCATCAGCTAAAGTTCATTTCCCTGCAAGTGAGTCTATGGAGATTTTGGTAGTTGCTCTTCATTGTATCCGTTCGTTGCCCTAGACTCCTTGACACAGGTCATGCTGGCTATGGTTCCAATCATTCAGGAAAAAACGTTCCTGTTTTACAAAGCAGGTGCCAGGGTTTTTTTGTACGACCCTGACTGTATGAGGTTTATAATCTCAAGGCCCTGAAAAATAACAAATGCTCCGTTTTTTTATCATACTGCCAGGAGAGGAATGATGACACCTTTTCAGCTTCCCTCATCAGCTTCCCTCATCAATCCCAGCTTCCCACATCAATCCCAACCATCCAGGATGATTCAGTCTCTAGTATGATGTTTTTAGGGAACTTAGAGAAGAATGTGTGTCAAGTAAAGGTGCCAGGTGTGGAGAGAAGAGTTACTTTGAACCTGGACTGAGGACAAACTTCTCAGAACCCCAAGTTATTCTGTTTGATCAAAACCAAAGCTTGGGTAAACACTGAAGGTCAAGGGAGGAACTAACTCTTCCTCTTTGCTGTATTCAATGCAGGAAGTTGGCTGGAACGTTGTCAATATTAAACCACATTAAAAAAAATTCAACCTTGCTTATATCCCTTGTAACTTGCATTTAAATGGTCATTATGGACAAACAAAATATTTTTAAAGGTATTCTCGACTTTAAAGAGAGCATGCTCAGTATACTGTTGAATAGAATTTGTTACGGACCACATATTTGTCATGAAAATTGTTGACACTAACTGACACAACATTGGTATACACCTCCAGAGTAATGTGAAAGTAAAATGAAAAGAAAACGAAGCCTTTGCTATGACTTTGAAGGAAAGCCAGCTTCGCCCCTCTCCCATCAACCACCAGCACTAACAAATGAAAGGGATCAGCATATACAAAAAAATATATGGTTTTAAGTTCCCACCGATATCATTTCTGAAACACTTGGCATTAGACCTACAAGTCCTGGAGGCTGTTATTTGGTTTTACCCATTCTGAAAATTACAGGGAGAAAATCACAGGCTGGGATCAGGTGTCCAAATCTTCATCTCAAAGGGTGAATCATAAAACTATTATAAAAACTGTATCCTGCTGCACTGACAGCTGTCTTCCCAAATCTACCCAGTGCAGAGAACTGTGGTGACAGCCACTAATGACTTAAATGTGAGATTAGGTTGTGATGTTTAACAGCGTGGACAAGAAACTTTTTTAAAGAGTTATTGAAAATAAAACATCACCCTGTTGATAATGGATAAGCCAGCCTAGGGGTATGAGATCATTTAAATAATTATGTAAAGTATTGTACAGTGACATTATTGTGAGGTTTGTATATGTCGTTCCCACTTGTGAGTAGGTAACGTTTAAATGGAAAGGATTGTGCACTTCATTACTGTTACTTTTGATGGTGGAAGATCCGTCTTTAATTGCTGTTTTAGAAAATGTGCAAAATTGCACTAATACAAACACAAAGAGTCATAGAATTATGAAGCAGAAGAATCCATTTTACAGGAAAGAAAA